TTGAATTCTTTAATCGGACATTATATGTGTCGCCTATAACAGTGACATCATTGTTTTTGGACTAGGAATGATTGGAGGTTCATTTTGACTAATTGTTTGTGTGTTAGTTTTTGTGAATTAATTTTTGTTTCCACAGAAAACCATAATAGAAGTGTGCTGCCCCCTCTATCGGGAGTGATCAATGACTATGACCTCATTCATCTCAAAGATCATACCTCTATTGGGAGAATTATGTTACCGCATATGCATCTCTGACTTCTATTTAAAAGCTATGTGGATTCTTAGGGAGGTTGCCCTCCTAATGTTTGCTTGAACATCATATCAACAAAAAAAAGGGAGGAGAAGAAAAATAGTTCGATTTAAAAAAAAAAAAAAAAAAAAAAAAAAAAAAAAAAAAAAGAGAGGGAGAAGAAAAGTTGGGATGATATTCAAGCATATATTAGGAAATTCTCCTTGAAGTCCACGATCGAATTGCTGTGCTAATCGCATATGCATTCATAACCCTTAAAAATTACCTAAATTATGGTTTCTTGAGTATGGTCATGGGGTTATAGTTATATCGTGCATCCAAGAGTTTGCTAGGTGGCCTTCTATTGTGATTCTCTTCAATATTATCTAATTAATTCATGAAAACCAAGCCCTCAACTTTTAATCTTGTGATCTTCTTGATTTTCTTTTCCGTAAAAGATTTTTTTCCTTTTAAATTTTTTTTAAATTTTTGGGCTTTGTGAATTTTTTTGGCTACTAGTTGTCTCTGGCCACGTGGCTATAGCCATGTCATCTGCCTTCTTTATTTTTTGATGTTTCGTGTGGAGAATATCTTGCTTGTTATTAGTGGCGGATTTTGTGGGATCTTTTTCTGATTTGAAAATATTCAGTATACGAAGAGTCCTCTCTTTCCCTGCCTATTTTCTCGGTCCCTGTGCTTTAAATATCCGCCTCTTTTAGGGTTTGCTTCTCACACTTTGTTCTTTTTCTTCTTCTCTTCCGCCGTTCCTTTTCTATTTTCTTGTTTTTCTCTGTGTTCACTATTCACCATGGGCAAGAATCGATCTGCTGAGGGCTCCAAGAAACGTCGCCACACTTCAACTGCCTCGCCTGCTGAGAAGAAGTCCAGAAAATCCTCAAAGAAAGTTCGTCCTACTGTTGTGGAAGTCTCTCCTGTTCCCGTCACCACAGATCTGGACCCCATCTCTACTCCCGTGGCTTCACCATCACCAAGTCTCAAGACAAGTGATGTGCCTGACCCTGTCGACACCGGCGTGGCTGCTCTTGACGGTGATAGCCTCTCTGCAACCCCACAAGATGATCTGCCCTCAGATCCAGAGGTTACCACAATCCTCTTCTTCTGAGCCTATTCCTGAGGATGACCCTTTGCGTTCTGAATCCTCTGATTCATCTGTGGGCTCTCAACTCTCTGCTGGTAACTGTTTCTCTAACCTCTTTTATTCCGCTCTTGCTAAAGAAAACTGGGATAGTATGAGTAAGCGTGCGTGCTCTCCTGAGCGTGTTTTGTCTAGGGCTGTGTTAGCTTTGTCTGGGATTTTCCGTCTTCTTAAATCTCAAGGGTTGCTGGGCACTATTGTGAGTGCACAACCTTTTGAAAGGTCTGTCATTGTTGAGTTTTATGCCAATCTTTCTGATCGCTTTTCTGTTGAGGGGTCTCGTGGGTATGGGAAAGTGTATGTGAGGGGTTCCTTCTATTCCGTGACTCCTGCTTTGATTAATGAGTTTTATAAATGTCCAAACGAGGTGTCTTACAAACCCTCTGTTTCAAAAGATTCTATGGCATCTGTTCTCACTGGCAAAGTGTTAAAGAAATGGCCCGGTCCGAAATCCTCTTTTCATGTTTCTAAGCTGACTCAGCTTTATTCGGTCCTGTTTAAGATAGGCATTTCAAACTGGTTTCCCACTACTCATAATGCTACTCTCAATCCCACCCAAGCTGAGTTCTTATGGTGCATCACTCATGACCTCAAGATCAATATTGGTGAACTGATTTTCAATCAGATTGGTGCGTTAGCCAATTCCCGAACCGAGCGTGAGCATTTGCCGTTTCCTTCTCTGATCTATCAGCTTCTGATCAAACAAGGCCTGCCCACTCGTGATGCGACTCTGTTGGATCCTCCTGGTCGCCCAATCACTATCCATGGTAAGGTCCTCTCTGAACATTTTGCTGATCTGCCTCCTGTCGATCCTTCTGTTGTTCAGACAGTCCCTCGTGCGAAGAAGGCTCCAATTGTCTCTGCCTCTATTCCGCCGCCAGTTGATGTGGTCACCAAGGATGAGCTCTCTCGTTTTCAAGAGTCTATCCAGGCTCAGCTTGCTCAAGGGTTTGCGTCTATTCAGGATCAGCTGCTTAGGACTTTGGCACATTCTGGTCAGAAAGGGGGAGTAGCAACAACTCCAACTCCTGCGGTTTCAACCAAGACCAAGGACAAAGGCAAAAAGCAGGCATCCCTCCTCACTCCTCCACAGCCCAGCTCTCGTGATGATGATGATTTGTTCTCTGGATTTAGTTACTAAATCAGAGATTTATGTTTTTGCATTTTTATGTCTTTTATCTTAAAACTATTTGCTATTACTTTTGGTTTGTAATAGCTAGTATTGTTTTCTTTTTTTTGCATCTTAGACTTTATTTTGTTAGCTTTTTATCTGCATTGATAACTATTTTGGAGTTAATTTTGGAGTGATATTATATCTCTCTCTAAATTGTCTCACTGCAGGGAATACTTATGTAGCACTGCTATTGTGCTAACAGTATGTGATGTTATGTGCTAACAGTCTGTGATGCAGGGGGAGTATTTTTCTCTTTCCGTCTTATCTGCAGGGGGAGTTCTTGTTAAACATGGTTCTGACCAAATCTATGCCAAAGGGGGAGATTGTTGGCGCCAGATTTCCACCAAGGAAGAAATCCGCCACACTTGGGAAGTAAAGATTGGCTAAAGATTTGTTCCCATGTTTATTTTGGAAATTTAGAGTCCTACCTATGTAATTCTTTAGGACTTAGATTTATTTCCTTGTACTTTACTCCTGTTAGGAATCTTTTATAGTTATCTAGATTAGAACTAGATATTGACTAGGATTCTGTTTCCTAGTTATTCGGTTCCTTTGGAAGACAGGTCTTTGGAGGCCGATCTCACGCCTATATAAGGCTCCTCACCTCACAAAGACCGTGACACTTTTGTTGGGAGAAAAATTACTCCGTTGCGTTGAAGAATCGCTGAAACGTTCTGGTGAACAGAACTGTGCCATCGTTGGATGTGTCAACATATACAGATTGGCTGTATAGATCTCTTGGGAGATCAACCGCGTCACTGAAGGGAGTTCAGGCCAGAAAGGAGTTCTAGGCATGCGGTGTGGAGCTGCTGTTAGAAGAAACACGAAGTTCGAGTTGTGTACAAGAACGGCATATTACATAAAGAGGGAGTCTTTAGTGTTTTTATTAAGTCCTATTAATGTACACTATAAATCTGAACTAGTGAAATCGTGTTTGCAGGTCCACGTGGATGTAGGGCACAATTGTGTCTGAACCACATTAATTCTTGTGTTCTGTTTATTTACTTTAAGTAGAGTATAACTGTGCCAACACAAGATTTACAGTTGTAACTAAATACTGTTTCCACAACTTAACTGTTACAACTTAGATCAACTGATTTCTATAGGCATATAAATCAACAAATATATATATAAATTTTATGTATATATAAATTCTTTTTATATAATTATGTACAAATATATTCAAAATATTATTATCAACTATTAATTTACAATTGATAATTTAATCATGTAAATAATTAGGGTAACAACAAAAATATTTGGAAATTTATTATTCAAACTTGTTTCTAACTTTTCAAAAATTACAAAATGGCCATAAGATGTCTGTTAGGTGTGCTCGAGTGTCGGATACGAAACATGTCCGAAACGATAATACATAAACAAGTTCTACCAGGTTAATGAACCCAAGATTCATGAATCCGTTGCATTAAGTGGTTTTGTCCAGATAAGCACGCACTTAAGTATAATTACGCAACAGTACAACTAAAAGTTTAAATCGTAATTTAACGAATGAGTCTGAAGCGCATGAAGAATTTGTGAAAAATAAAAAAAGATAATGATGAGTATTAGGAGTTTGCACAACATGGAACGATATATGAGAATAAAGAAAAATAATTCTTTAGATTAAAATGAAATTGATAAAGAAAAAAAAACCACTGCATAGTATTGTTATCAGGCAAATTAGGTGGGTAGTTATTTAATCAAATCTACGGTTTAAGTTTACCTAATGTAAATAACCAGATGTAGCATCAAAATCCCCGTTATCATGAACGTACAAATAGATATTATCCTCCAAGTAAGAACATATTTGTAACATATCCACTTGGGATGCAAAAAGAAAAAAAGAAAAATTAAATTGAAAATACAGAAATAACCAAAAACTCAAGAGAAGGCTCAACCTTTTGTTGGTGCAATTGCCGTTATTCTGCTAAGTCGTTTGGGTGAAACCAAAGTCTCGACGTACATTCTTATGTAGCGACGATTGGTAAAAAAATTCATCGTGTATATATTTTCTGCGACATTATCATGTCGAGTCCGAGATCTGAAAGCAATATCCCCATAACCACTAACTCCGACCAACTCCAGGTTTTGTACATTATCACAAGAGTGTGGTATAGTAAACAACTTAGTCCAAGATTCCTTAATCCCATATTCCTTCATTACCCAAACCTCGTAAATTTCATAGAAGCCCTCACAGTATCCCTGAATTGCAGACATGCATCCATCTATCACCCCAATCACCCCAATCCCAGTTATATGATGCATTTCATGTGATTTTATAGGCGTAGGCATTAATTCTCCGACAGTTTTTTGGCCCAAATTGTACGTAAGCATTAGTACCTTTGCGTGATTGGGATCGGCTGCGCTGATTTTAGTCACAAGCCAATGGACTATTCCATGCAAAAGTTTCCCCTCCTCGTTAAATTTGAACATTAATTCATCTATATTAAATTCTGGGGTTGAATAATATCTCGAGTCTTGATCTTGATGGGAATCATCGATTGATAGGGAGATGAGTTGAATGCGATTTGTGGGTTGTTTGCCTCTCTTAACCAAATCCCCAAAACAACTTTGTACACGTCATCGGATGATTCTCGTCCAAACCAGGATACGAGAAGATGAAATTTCATACCATCAATATTCAGAGTTTTTGACACCCTTGTAGCTGGATTCCACACGCAGATTCTCGTAGGGTGAACGCTTATATTATCCATATAACAGACAAGACCATCAGAGGATATTCCGATGAAATATCCGGTGGCTTCGTCAGGCCACGTCAGCTCGACTTGTTGGACATCATCATAGACAAGGCTAACAGAATATGGAGGGAAGATCCTACAGTGGGAAGGGCTGGAGATTGATTTCTTGAGATGCAAGTTAATGAAATATTGGCTAGAAATTATCGAATTCCATGTTTTGGAGACGGATTTGAATCTCAAGAGATCTTTCACATGGAGTCTTGACAGAATTTCCTCCAAAATATCTGCAGAGAGTTGGTGCATAGTTACATCAATGGCACAGCATATAAGAAAACCCTAGCTAGTTGACAGCACAATGAGTTGTACGTTCCTAGGGTGGATGTAATATTTGGAAGATGATTAATTAATTTTAAAGAAATTAACTAAAAAAGAATTCGAGTGTCCTAATATATGGAAAAGTCCTTCTATGGGACTATTTACTTGCGCAAAAAAATAATAATATTGATGGGGTTGACAGTAATATATTGTGTTCACGTAATTCTACAAATCAAATTCGGAAACCGGCGGCGTAAAAACATGAAAAAAAAAAAAAAATTAACGCCGGTAACCAGCGGTAAAAAAAAATCAAAAAAAAAAAAAGAATTTGAAAAAAAGATAAAATTAAAATTGGAATTTTGTGATCAAAATTGATAAAATTGAAGTTAAACTGGGGTTACAATTAGGAATTGAGTTTAAAAGGTTGGGGTAATTTTGTCATATACATTAATTTTGTCTTTAGTTATAATACATATTAAAGGGATGGGCTCATTAGCCAAAGAAATATAGCTCATGAACGACTGAACCTAGAATAATAAAGATGGTTCGTCAACGACTTGTGCATAAAACCCCCTTTTTTTTAATTGATCTTTAGTAATTTTAAATCAAATTCGCATATAATAGACAAGACCATCGGATGATCCGAGGTAATATCCGAAGATCCTACGGTATATAGGAAAGGGTGGATATCGATTTGGTTGGAGATTAGTAAAATCTATATCTTGGAAACAGATTTGAATCTCAAGAGATCTTTAACGTGCAGCCTTGACAGAATTTCTTCAATAGCATCTTCCAGTAGTTGCTGCATTCTTGATGTAAAGCCTAATTAGATTTTTCCTCCAAATTGCAAAAGCCTTCACCATTCTCTATATATATATACTAGTATTTACAGGTGTGTGATGCACGGGGTGACTTTTCAAAAGGTGATGAATATTTTAATTTAAGGGGTTTTTGTGCGTAAGTCTATAACCAAACATCTCTATTATTCTAGGTTTAAGACCTGGATATATTTTACCAATAAGCCAATTCCTTTAATATTTATTATAAATAAAGGAAACATTATATATATGACAAAATTACCCTTAACCCCTTACACTGAATTCTTAATTGTAACCCCAATTTAATCAATTTTGACCACAAAAATTCAATTTTGATTTCTTTTTCCAAAAACTTTTTTCTTGAAAAGATATTTTTTTGCCGCCGGATTCCGACGTTTCTTCAACGAGTGGCCCGACATTTAATGCAGGCCGAAGCATCTGGTTGCCCGGTTGGTCAAATGATATTAATGAAAATACTAATTCATTATTCTTAACAATAGGTCCCGAAGACTTTTTGGTTCATCATGCTATTGCTCTGGGTTTACATACAACTACATTGATCTTAGTAAAAGGTGCTTTAGATGCACGCGGTTCCAAGTTAATGCCAGATAAAAAATATTTCGGTTATAGTTTTCCGTGCGATGGCCCGGGACGAGGGGGTACTTGCGATATTTCGGCATGTTGACTTTTTTTTTTTTTTCGCCGTCCGATTTCGGCGTTGAATTTTTTTATTTGTTATTTTTTCTTACGTCCGCCGCTAAACGTTGACCGTAATTGTGATGTCATTAACAGTAATTATACTGTCACTAACAGTAAATTAACGTAATTATACTGTCACTGACAGCAAATTAACGTAATTGTATTGCCGTTGACAGTAAATTAACGTAATATTATAAAATTTTTTTGTTATTTTTTTTTATTTTCTTTTTATTTGTTGACAAGTCAACGTAATTTTATTACTGTCGTTGACAGTATTATAACTGTAAACACAATGATATTGTTGGCGCCAGATTTCCACGAAGGAAGAAATCCGCCTCACTTGGGAAGTAAAGATTGGCTAAAGATTTGTTCCCATGTTTCTTTTGGAAATTTAGAGTCCTATCTTTGTAATACTTTAGGACTTAGATTTATTTCCTTGTACTTTACTCTTATTATGAATCTTTTATAGTTATCTAGATTAGAACTAGATATTGACTAGGATTCTGTCTCCTAGTTATTCGGTTCCTTTGGAAGACAGGTCTTTTGAGGCTGATCTCACGCCTATATAAGGCTCCTCACCTCACAAAGACCGTGACACTTTTGTTGGGAGAAAAATTACTCCGTTGCTTTGAAGAATCGCTGAAACGTTCTGCTGAACAGAACTGTGCCATCGTTGGATGTGTCAACATATACAGATTGGCTGTATAGATCTCTTGGGAGATCAACCGTGTCACTGAAGGGAGTTCAGGCCAGAAAGGAGTTCTAGGCACGCGGTGTGGAGCTGCTGTTAGAAGAAACACGAAGTTCGAGTTGTGTGCAAGAACGGCATATTACATAAAGAGGGACTCTTTAGTGTTTTTATTAAGTCCTATTAATGTACACTATAAATCTGAACTAGTGAAATCGTGTTTGCAGGTCCACGTGGATGTAGGGCACAATTGTGTCTGAACCACATTAATTCTTGTGTTCTGCTTATTTACTTTAAGTAGAGTATAACTGTGTCAACACAAGATTTACAGTTGTAACTGAATACTGTTTCCACAACTTAACTGTTACAACTTAGATCAACTGATTTCTATTGGCAGGACTATGATGGTGAAAGAGCAAAAAGAATGAGGAAAAATCTTTTTTCCAAAAGTGCATGCTGATGACCACCAAGATGTTTCACCGTCTGTTAGCACAATGTTTGAGGCTTCTGTCAGTAAGTTAAATCGCACTGCATTTCTTCCCTCAAATAGATTAGATGAAATCATAAATGCTCATCCTTCTAATTCCAAAAGAATTGGGTTAGGGTATACTGATGGACAATCTAATGCTAACACTGGTTCAAACCAGAAAATCAGATTTGTCAATTCCACATCTTCTTGTGTGAACAACCAAACCTATCCTACTAAGTTTATTCCTATCTGTCACTTCTGTCACAAAATAGGGCATGTCAGGCCTAAATGCTTTAAAAGATGGAAATTGATAAATAAACAGTTAGCATATCAGACATCCAAATCCGCTGCGTGGGTTACTTACTCTCAAAGTAACAACTCTTATAAACAAAGGATGACAAATGATGGTACTAACTGCTGGTCAGCTATTGTATCTTTAAATGCATGTGCTACTAACTCTTGGTATTTTGACACTGGTTGCTCCAAACACATGACAGGTGAAAGGAATTTCTTATCAAATCTGCATTACATGTCTAGTGGACAGGTTACTTTCGGAGATGGAAATAAGGCTTATGTAAAGGGAAAAGGGGACTTAAATGTTGGAGGTCTACCAAACTTGAACAATGTTTTGTTTGTGGAAGGTTTGAAATCAAATCTTCTGAGTGTAAGTCAGTTGTGTGATCTCTACGACTCTGTATTGTTCACAAAGCGTAAGTGTGAAGTATTTGATGAAAACAAAAATTGTGTTCTAACCGGATACAAGTCATCAGACAATTGCTACAAAATTGATCAGATTGACAAATCGGATCAATGTCATCACACTTCTTCTGATCTCACTGATCTCTGGCATCGGAAACTAGGTCATTTAAATTTTCATGATCTAACCCGTCTTGTTAATTCAGGATGCGTGAAAGGGGTACCACAACTGAAGACTGACACACCTGAGTCTTGTGGTGACTGTCCTCTGGGAAAACATGTACGGACATCTCACAAGAACACAGATCATGCAGGGACTAGCAGGACCGTGGAACTCATTCACTTGGATTTAATGGGACCAATGCAAACCGAGAGCATTGGTGGAAAAAGGTATGTTCTAGTTTGTGTTGATGATTTCTCAAGGTTCACTTAGGTACGTTTCATTAGGGAAAAGTCAGAGACCTTTTATGAGTTCAAAACTCTGTGCAAGAAATTGCGAATTGAAAAATTCAGCAATATTGGAAGAATTCGAAGCGATCATGGGAGAGAATTTGAAAACTCTTCATTCACAAAATTTTGTGATAAACATGATATCTCTCACGAATTCTCAGCACCAAAGACACCACAGCAGAATGGTGTGGTAGAAAGAAAGAACAGAACTCTCCAAGAAATGACTCGCGTAATGCTCATCTCAGCAAGAGTGGCCACAAAGTTCTGGGCTAAAGCTATGAGCACTGCCTGCTACACCATAAACCGTGTACACCTCAGACCAGGTACCAAGAAAACTCCATATGAAGTATGGAAAGGTAAGAAACCTAACCTTAGTTACTTTCACGTATTTGGGTGTGAATGTTACATCCTGAACGATAGAGAACAACTCGGTAAGTTCTCTGCAAGAGGAGATAAAGGTACCTTTCTTGGTTACTCTTTAAACAGCAGGGCATATCGCGTTTATAATGAACGTACAATGACTGTTATGGAATCCATTAATGTAACCTTTAACGAAGTTTTATCTGCAGGAATGGATGAGGAAGACGCTAATCCTGGAAAAACCATTGTACCAGTACAAACGCCAGACGTCAGCACAGAGGAAGTGACGACAGTGAAGGAAAGCACAGAAGGAGTGACAGCAGCGAAGGAAAGCACAGAAGAAAGAAAAAGACCATCAAGACGAGTTGTAAAAAATCATCCTTCTGAACAGGTGATAGGAGAATTTGATGAAGGTATGAAAACTCGAAATAAGCCCAAAGTTGATTACCAAGAAATGGTCAGGTATGTTTGCTATACTTCAACTATAGAACCAAAAAACATCAAAGAAGCAATTCTTGATGAGTATTGGGTACAAGCTATGCAAGAGGAACTTGAGCAGTTCACTCGACATGAAGTGTGGGAACTTGTTCCACGACCCGACCAGGTAAACGTTATAGGTACAAAATGGGTGTTCAAAAACAAAACGGACGAACTTGGTAATATAACTCGCAACAAAGCCCGTCTTGTTGCTCAAGGATACACCCAAATTGAAGGAGTAGATTTCGATGAAACATTCGCTCCGGTAGCACGTCTTGAGTCAATACGTACTCTCAGTTGCTTGTGCTTTAAAGTTTAAACTCTTTCAAAT